CGGGGAAGAAGGGCCCGGCGCAGACGGCGGATGGGCGTCGCTACCGGGCATCTCCCTCGCCCTCGGGGCCCCGGGGCTTGCTGGAGTTACCTGGCTGGCTGTAGAGTTGCAGTGCCTGCATCGAGTGAAAAAGGCTCCAGCAGTAACTGCTTGGTGCTTATTGTAGGTTATTGGGAAGCTTCCCAAGTGGAAATAAAATTTCCGACTTGCCTACGTACGTAAGGGTAACCATTGGAAGGAAGCCTCTTAATTTGTTTCTCAGTCCTGAGTCAACTCTTCACACCAATTGAAATCCTTTAGGCCAGTGCAAAAAACGGCTGCTCATGCTATCTCTTCTTCAGGTCTGGAATTTACAGGTGTGGTTCTTGAAAACAGAACAATATCTTTGGATAGAATAAAGGGTTTTCATCTGAAGCGCTTCCTTTTGAAGGAACACTGCATGTGTGTTATATTTACTTAGCATTTAGTGTGATTTACACCAGAGCATCACATCCTCATTTATATGCCCCTTTCAGCATTGTCTGCAGAATTTCGGTTGTATTTGCATGCTCTGAAGTGTAAGACTTTTGCTTGAATTTTATATGCTGTCTGGCTGACTGAGAGGACTCAAATTAGCATGCCAGTGCAGTTCATTTGATGTGCTTCATGTCAGTTCACAAAGACAGTAGACCGAGAGTCTCCTGGAAAAGGTGGCACTCAGGAACGATCTGCAGTCCACAGAGTTATCTATGTATCCCAGAGTTCATTTTGGCCTCTGACACAGAGTGGCAGATGAATTGCTTTCCTGGCTGCTGCTTTCAGATGAGCCCGAAGTGGAGAGCGAAGAGGAAATGGATGCATACAACATAATAGACATAACTGCGTAGTAAATCCAGTGCTTCCTGGAAGGACTGATCATATGACAGGGAGAGATTGCAGCCATTGTGTGAAACTATATTGCAGGTGAAACTACATGATCTGCTGCTGCAAAGATTGATCTGATCAGGTTGCTCTTACGGAAGAGCAGGTAATGTAGTTCCTTGGTACTTAGGCTTGGATTTCAGATCTGACCCTGTGACTGTATTTTTGCTAGTTTGATGCTGATCCCACAAATTTTATATGGTAACAGAAATTAAGTAGTTAAGGAGGGTTGTGGGGGTTTTTTTGTTAATATGCTATACTTCTACTTTAAGAAATCTCAAAAGTGATCTAGAATTCAATATAAAAATTAGTACAAAATTAACATTAAATTAAATTGTTATAAAATGATTACTTATGACAAGGTAATATTATCAAATGATATTAGTAATACTGGCCAGAATCTAGAAATGTTGATCTGTTTTGGCATGATGGATCCAGACAGAGACTACAGAGAATAGCTGAACAGAACTTGCATATGGGTCTGTGTTCTGTTGATATTTCAGGTTTGTGTTTACTTTACGTTTGTCCTCTTATGCCTGATCTCACTGTTCAGTTACATAAAAGTTGCAGCAGCATGTAAATGCTTACTAGAGAAGAACCTCAGCTGTAATGGTAGTTTCTGCAAACTTTAAATTTAAAGCACATATATAAAGTCACAAACTGGAATTCTTAATGAAAAGTTTGATGAGAATTTGTATTCAAGGCACTTAAATTAAGCTGTGGCAGAGTATTATCTGTTTGACGTTAAATCCTTCTACATTGTCTGAAATGGTCAAGGTGAGTTGAGAGATTTGCTCTCCTAATAGTACAGGCTTTTCTTGAATTAATATAAATTATCAGTGATGACAGTGGAATTAATGGCTTACAATTAGATAGAAATCAAGCTGGTTCTGAAAGCAGCCACTAACAGTATGTGAATTATTAACTATTAATACTATCTACTTTATTTCGTTTGTAGATAAGACAAATCCGATGCTTACATAGAACAGCAGTGTGCAATGCCAGTGGAGGAGCCTTATTTGTGGTAAGTAATTTTCTACCTTACTGTAAGGGGGATGTGTAAGAAGAGTTTGGCATATGCTTTTTTAACCTGCCTAAAAGCTTCTGGTGGGCAGAATTTTGCTATAGAAGCCTGCTGGCATTTACAAAGAAGCGTTTTTTCAGTAGAGCTTTTTATTAGAGTTGTGATGGAGTAGCAAAAGGTTTTATTTTAGTTTTTGGCCTTGTGTTTCTTTCTGTATATAGTGAAAACTCTTGTTAATAGTATGGTGATATTAGCAGCGTTTGTGTGCGATTGCAGATGATATCAGCAGCATTTGGCCGTGATTGCAGATGAGACTTTGCTTAAACTTTATTTCATTATAAAACAGTTCTTGTTTCCTTTTTTTATTGGAGTTAATTGAGTTTGTAATTGAAGCTCATTAAACTTTTTGCAGGCTCAATTTCTTGATTTCTGAAATTTGCTGCAGAATCACCCTTAGGTCCAGGTCTAGCCCTGTCTACTAGGAGTTGAAAAGTGCAGTTCTTATATTATGTGTGATATAGCATGTTGCATAATGACTCATAATTGAGGCCATTAGGCATTATCATAATATATGTAATTAGTAATAGTGATTGCAAAAAAGAAAAAGCCCTCAAATTTAAATGTGTAAAGCAGATGTGTTGTCTGTTTACCTCTGAAGAGAACCTGAAGCATCTCCGAGAGGTGTATTCTATCCCATTCTGCTCCATTCAGAGCTTTATCTAGTCTGCAGTCTAACAGCTGAATAATCTGGCATTTTTCCAACATTCAGTAGAAATCAGCACTTTACTAGAGAATTGACCACTTTGTTGAAAGCAGGTGCTCAGCATTTTTGGACAGATTTTTGTTGTTGTTGTTGCCTTTCTGCAGCTGTCTCTACAGCTTTTCTCATAAGATGAAGCTAATGGGATTACAGTACATGCTTTGTATACTTTTCCAGAAACCTGAGCAGGCATTGATGATTTACAGAGTGAGAGCTGTATTCAAGGAGTAGAGGAAACAGTGTAGGCTGACAACTTAGGAAACTTTGAGTGTAGTTTGAGGTTGGTGAAGACAGGCAGAAGGTGTCTTTGGCACCTTAATGGATGTTGGTGCCTGGCATATGAAGCTAGATAGTTTTATAAATTCTCCAGGCATTTTTCAAGATTTATGTAATTGTTTAAATTATTTGAGGGAGGGAGGAGCCTGAAAATAAAGAAAGGGAAGTAGAAAAGTAAAGTTGTGTGTTTTAGTTAGCTACTTATGATTTGCAGCTGCTTATTTAATAGCATCATTGACTTCTTTTATTTTTATTCCGCAACAGAACTTTTGCTAGAAGAGCATAGGAAATTGTTTTTGTGGGGGTTTGTGTGTGTGTTTTTGGTTTTTGTTGTTTGTTTGTTTGTTTTTTTTAATAGGGTAATATTTGTTCTTCCATGAAGTAAAAGGCTATGGGAAGAAGACAGTTTGATGTCACTGTGTGTGTGTGTAATTGTTTGACCTAACTACAACTAAAAACCTTCAGAGCAAATTTCAGATGTTATTTAACACAGCACATTTGAAGGAAAACTTGTCCTGCTAACTTGAGCATTATTTTAATCTACACTAGGTGTTTGTATTTTCTGATTGTTCAGAAAATGGGACTTTTTTCCCCCCAGATTTCTCTAGAGGAAAAAACCCAACATTAAAAAAAGTCTTAGTTTTCTGGAATATTACACGCAGATGAAGGTCAAAGGTTGTTAAAAACTGCTTGTGGAGAAATAGTGGGCTTACCTGGGAGAAACTCTAACCTGTTGAGCTGCTCCAAATCATATTTCTGATGGCTAGGGAAGGCCTGATTTCAAAGATACTTTTATTTACAATAGTTACCTTTTTTTCCTTAAACATGCCTTCTGTGTCTTTGACTTTTACCTGTCTTTAGCCTCCTTAACAGCTAAAACTTAACTCTTCTATTTTGTGGTTTTCAACACATGAACTGAGTTTCCTTAACACATCAATTGCCCTGATGTGGGCTTTGTCATAGGGCTGCGCAGGGGTTCAGAACAGAAGGTTAGATAATTGCTATATTATAGTTTTAGTTGCTTGTGAAGATCGTCAGTGAAATACTTGGGTCTGAGAGCACTTCCACCATTCTTAATTTAGGAGAGTTTTATATCTTGAGTTCTGCTGGAATAGTCAATGTAGGGTACTTTCCCCTTGGAGGGGAAGTAATAAATTTCTTTTCATTGCTGATTTGATACAGACTCTTAACAGGTTGTTGCTCTAAACATCTTTTCCCCTGCAGACCACACAGTTCTCTCATTTTGGTTTGCAGTGTTTTGGACTGGTGTTTACCACAGGGCATTGGTCAAGTTCCAGGCCAACTTTTTTGCAGTATACATGAAAGCTAAATTATTCTAGTTATTCTGTTGTAATTCTTCAGCACTCTTTAATAATTCTCTGTGTCAAGAAAGATGATTAGATCACTGAAAAAGAATAATAAAATGTCCCAGGTTGGTGTAGCAAAAAGAATGTGAGATGAACATTCAGCAGCCTTAGTACCTTCCATGGGAGAGTCCCATCTGTGGGAACAGTGTGGCTTGGGTAGGCCTTCACAGTGCAGCTGTTTACACCTTTAAGTAGGTTAGGCGGAATGCTGCAGTACAAACGTGATACAGTCAAGCTACGCATGGAATGAAAACATATTGTGTAAGACTTCAGGAAATTGGGGAGCACAAGAAGGGAATCAGGAAAAATGTGTGGATGGAGTTTGACCTTGCTTTTCAACAAATTGCTGTAGTTGGTACAGACATAATTGTTTGTACTTAGTTTGTGTATGGAGGAAGCCTTAATATATTGGTTTCTTTTATCATGGATTTGATCTGTGCAGCTAAGACATAGAACAGGTCTGTAAGGGAAAAAAATTAAAAGTATTTCCAATCAGTTTTTCCTCCATTAGCCTCTTTGGAATATTTTCATTGAAATTGGTAGAAAACCCTCACCAACACTACATATGAGGAGTCAAATCCTTTATCTGGAAGGGTCAATTTGAAATAGTGGCAATTGTGTTCCTAAAAGCTGGTTTATATTATCTGTTTTATATTATCTTGTAGACCACTCAATAAGTAATAAATTCATACTTAATGAAATTAGTGTGTTCAAAGGGAATCGGTTATCTTTCTGTAATTCCTGTTATTAGGGGAAAGTCATCCTTGGTGAAGAAGTAGATATAGACTGTACTTTTATATTTGACTTGAAACTGTGGTAAGGGTACATGCTCTCAAATTGATGGTGGCAGTAGTACTGTCTGCTCCAGGATATGGACAGGATAAGCAAAGCGAATCTCTCGCTAGACAAACAGATGTAATTGAAGTTAAGTATTTGGCCTTTTGATCTTTCCATATTAAAATTTCTGAATCCAGGAATAGCTATGGACCATACATGTTTTAAGTTCTCCACTGATGACAGTCTTTCAGTATGTAAGTATCTTGCAGTGTTAAGATTTTTCATTAAATCCTTTGCTGCTTAATAACGCAGTGTGGAAACTGCAAAATCACCCCAGGTTACTTGAGAAAACGATCAAAGTGAAAGTCAGTGGAGTGGGTTTCTTTCTCCTAAATATACTTTTAAAGCTTTTATTATTCGCTGGTTGTGGATTACTTTTAACATCAAGCCTCACGTATAGCTTGCATTCTTCCCCAAACTTTCCATTTAATTTGAAACTTTCTCAATTTGAAAACTGTGTAAAGCTTGGAATTAAACTTAGCTATGAATATTTCAAGGATACCATAAATGAGCTGCTTAGAGATAACTGAAAATTTTGTGCAGGAAGTTTATTTGGTGGATAAGGATTTTCATCTGAACTAAGGTTTTATTATAGGGAAATGTCACTTTCTTCAAGACTTCCAAATTTCTATTGTCTGAAAATAGAAGAACTAATTTAAATTTTATGTTTCCCTGGAAGACCACCTTAAAAATAAGATGATAGAATACCTTATTTTGGAAATATTAATTCAAAATTCTGCTTCTTCCACTCTGATTCAGAATTATATCTAAAATTAAAATGTTGAAATCATTACAAATCAAAATAATAGGGTAAAATGGGTTAATAATGTCTTTGAATGTGCAGACACTTCAGTTATATAGCAAGCTTCTTGATGAATTTTTAAATTTTTATAGTTAATGTCTCATGGGAAAAGAAAAATTGGGCTGTTGTTTTAGTCCCTTGTTGTTTATTAAAGTATTAACCAGAGGACTCCTAGTCTACTTGTGATGAGTATGAATATAATTGCCAATCTGTATTAACAGTGTTAAAAAAATGTATATTTTGATAACAACACCATATTCCTCAAGAAATAATTTTTGAATAGGAAATAACAGGAATAAGTAATTCTTTTTAAGAGTGATGAAATAATTACCAATATTTTTGATAACTTTCCCAGAGATATTTAATCATTTATGACTGAGTACTATGAAGTTTTTATCTGGGATGTATCGGTTTTATTCAAGCAACTCAACTGTAACTGTCTAATGAGAAAATATTTTACAACAGTAAATCTGTCCTGAATAATTTCCTGACAACCCTATTTTTACGTTTTCTTTTTCTTTTCCTGAAGCACAGAGATAGTCCTGAAAATAATCCAGATACTCCATTTGAGTTCACACCTGAAAACCAAAAGGTATGCAGACAAAAAAGGTTACATACACAGACTTTGTCTTTAGATCAGTACTGATATTTTTTTTTCCCTCTTTCGCTTTAAAAAGCGAATAGAAGCAATCATAAACAACTATCCAGGGGGACACAAGTCTGCAGCTGTCATGGCAGTACTAGATTTGGCCCAAAGACAGCATGGATGGTTGCCCATATCGGCTATGAACAAGGTATTTAGTACTTAATTATCTTTCAAGCATAATTTTACTGTTTTCTTTAAATATCTCACTAGAGTATTAGCATTTATTTATCAAAGCGTACATGTGGCACAGGATTGTGAGAATTCCCTCTGACACTACATTTTAAAAAATAAAAGGGAAAACTAACCCGGGGAACTCTGGGCTCTGTTGTTTATGCAACCCATTACATTGCCCATTGCTAGAAACTACAGACAGAACAAAACAAAAATTACATGAGCCTTATTTAGATAGGCTCTTTTCCCAGAATCATCCTGGAAGTAGGAACAGAAACTTGAAAAATTTTGTTCACTGCTGAATTTGAGGAAAGAAAAAAGATAACAATGGTGGGTTTTTTCTCCTCAGGTTAGTGGCACTACACACATTGCCAGCATTGTACTTAATCTCTAGGCCTGTAAAGACTTCTGCAAAGCAGTGTTAGTGTAGTATGTCATGAGTGTTTTATAACACCTCACAGCAAGTGTCCGGAAGACTTACTAATTATTTATTAAAATTGTTTCAAAATAAGCAAGCAACTACACTGCTCCAAAGTGATACGTTGCATGACAGTAATCAAATACTAAGAAATAAAAAATTCTGGTTTATATTCATATGAATAAATCTTACCGTATTTTGTGTTACAACCTGGCACATCATCAGTTTTAAAGTGGAAAGTTAAATTCAATCAAGATACGCTAAGTGAGGATTCTGAGCATTACAGGAGGAGTTAAGGGTATATTTAGAAAAGGGCAACTTAGGTTTGCTACTGTTTCTACAGTGTAGCATAAAGCCTCAAATTGCCATTAATACTGAATGGGAAAAGTATTCGTTTATTTACTCTTAGCTTTCGGATTCATATTATATTTAAAACCATCTTAAGATTTTTAACTGAACAGATATTTTCTGTGGTTTGTTATTTGCCTGCTGTAGAGACTGGAACATAAAACAGTTACACTTTTGAAAACAGAGCCAGTTCTCAACCTGCGCCAGGGTTCCAGGTTAATGAGGTCAGGGATACTTACACCAGAAGTGGCTCCATGGAGATCGAGCTTCACTCTCTATTTATTAGCTGTGACGCCAATCTGCAGATGTAGCAGTGGCGTTTCTGTGACGCCAATCTGCAGATGTAGCAGTGGCGTTTCTAAGGCCAGCCCTAGCGTGTCACAGAACCTGAGACAGACCTGCTGTATCTGAATTAGGTGAGCGTGGTACCAGCCTGTGAGTGTTCCCTTACCAAAAGGCTTACGTGAGTTAGCGTGGGCAGAGGTGTACAAGTTCGTTCATTCATACGGCAGAAGAGCAGAAGTGGAATATGAGCTGGAACTGACAATGAAAGCTGGAACCCAGCTGACTCCTCACATCTAGCTTGTGTATGATGTTAGATGCTGGAGGAGGGAACTGACTTGAGCTCCTTGCTATGCTAATCCATGGCTTAGTGGAGTTTGTGCTCGAGCCGGGTGACTCCAATCAGAGTAACTCAGGTGTCTTGTCTTGGTACTTGAATACAGCTATGCTTTGATACCCATCCCCTCCCTCTTATTTAGCTGTTACTGCAGACAGAGAACAGGTGACTTTATTGAAATGGTTTGTTAAATGCATTTACTGATGCCCTGTAAGAATTCAATGTAGTGTCTGTTTTCCCCTTGTTACAGGTTGCTGAAATTTTAGAAATGCCTCCCATGAGAGTGTATGAAGTAGCAACCTTCTATACAATGTATAATCGCAGACCTGTTGGGAAATACCATATTCAGGTCTGCACTACCACACCTTGCATGCTGCGAGACTCTGATAGCATTTTAGAAGCCATTAAGAAGAAACTTGGTATGACGCAAATTTGTAATATACTACTAGTAATTTTTTTTACCTTTGTTTAATGATACTGAAGTAAAATTTTTCATGTGGTGGGAATAGAGCAATAGTTGAAAATACAGAGTGAAATCATTGGAGAATAGGCACTAAATACTTCAAACTTCAGATTTGGCATTTATTCTTTATTTTTGAAGATTTCATACAGTAGAGCAGAAAACGCCATTGTCTGGAGTGCCATTTAGTGGTCTTAAAGTGGTTTTAAAGGCAATTTGCCAGCAAATTCATTATTCTAATATGACCCTTGGACTGAGAAAGTAAGCCTTATCCCATATATAGGAGAGGATTCTGAATGCTACGGCACTTTTTTATACGCAAAGTAGGATTTTTAAGGTATATGCTATATGAAAGTTGTTTGTGAGGGTTTTTTTTTTTATTAAGAAAGATGATAGAATCATAGAATGGTTTGGGTTGGAAGAAACCTTAAAGATCATCTAGTTCCAACCCCCCTGCCATGGGCAGGGACATCTTTCACTAGACCAGGTTGCTCAAAGACCATCCAACCTGGCCTTGAAGACTTCCAGGGAGGGGGCATCCACAACTTCTCTGGGCAATCTGTCCTAGTGTCTCAACACCCTCACAGTGAAGAGCCTTCCTAATACCTAATCTAAATGTGTCCTCTTTCAGGAGGTACTCTTTCAGTATACCCTCATCCTATCACTACACTCCCTGATAAAGCCCCTCCCCATCTTTCCTGTAGGCCCCCTTTAAGTACGGGTAGGCTGCTGTAAGGTCTCCCTGGAGCCTTCTCTTCTCTAGGCTGAAGAACCCCAACTCTCTCAGCCTGTCCTCACAGGGGACGTGTTCCAGCCCTCTGATCATCTTTGTGGCCCTCCTCTTGACCTGCTGGAGCAGGTCCATGTCTGTCTTATGCTGGGGCCCCCAGAGCTACTGGATGCAGTACTTCAGGTGGGGTCTCATGAGAGCGGAGTAGAGGGGAAGAATCACCTCCCTCAACCTGCTGGCCACACTTCTTTTTACGCAGCCCAGGATGTGATTGGCTTTCTGGGATATGTGCGCACATTGCCGGCTCATATTCAGTTTTTCATCCACCAGTACCCCCAAGTCCTTCTCTGCAGGGCTGCTCTCAATCCACTCATTGCCCAGCCTGTATCCATGTTTGGGATTGCCCTGACCAAGGTGCAGGACCTTGCACTTGGCCTTGTTGAACTTCACGAGGTTCGCACGGGCCCACCTTTCTGGCCTGTCAAGGTCCCTCTGGATGGCAAACATGATAATGTAACTTATGAATTCTCCGTGGAAAAAGTTGATTGAGAGTGCTGCATCATACGAGATGTAAGGAGAACCCATGGGTTTTGTGAGTGGGTTGGGTTTCCTCCCTATTGGGTGGTTACGGGGAGAAGAGGGGATAACGTCAGCAGCTAACAACTCTTCCCCTTCTGTGAAGTTGCAAGCTGTGCTAACATTTCCTAAGAACCACTGTGATAAGAGCTGGAGAACAGCTGCTTATTATCTTGCATTTCATATATTTTGTTGTCTGGAAAAGGCATATTTAGATGAAATTTGTCTTGGTTTGTTACTGCAAAGATAGCTTAATTTTAACTGAAACTCTTTGCTTGAGAAGTCAAAGCATTAGGCATGATTGTGTAGCTCTTACTGAGACACAGGCCGTACTTAGACTTTTACTAGTTTTTTCCCCCTTCTAATAACTACGGAGGAAGACTGCTTTTCAGCATTCCTCCTTTCATGGAGTATTTTGTCGAGATCAGACTCTGAGGTGTTATTTTGGCTAACCTGCCCTCTGGGGAAGGTCTGTATCTGTATCACTAGAACGGTAATGTGTCGTGGAAGCTAAGTATGTGTACAGAGTTGTTCGGGAAATAAGCCTTTGTGTATCAGCTTGGAAGTTGTTAATGAATTGGTAGCTAACAATGTTAATGCTTGGATCTTGTTTAATTTGGGAATTCAGTACTCAGCACTGTACATTAATGCATTTCATAGCAGCACATGAAAGCAATGTTTTCCCTATTTTTCCATTCTATTGTATTGATTACCAAAAATGTTGCTGAGTAGAGCTGTTGTTTCTTAGAACTGTCATTTCATGGTTATTTTTCAATAAATCGTACCTGTAAACCTGTCCATGTGTCTCAAAAATATATCTGAAGACTGACTTCAGAGTTTATAGAATCTTTTGTTTAATGGAAACATTTATTTAAGAGGATTTAACTATGCAAATGTTTTTAAGGCCAAAATACAAGTAGCGAGAAGACTATGGAGTATTTGGACTCATGCTTTATTAATCTCATTCAGTAACCATTGCTGATCCTAATACTCTTTATTGGTTTAGGTATAAAAGTTGGGGAAACAACACCTGATAAACTCTTCACGTTGATAGAAGTGGAATGTTTAGGTGCTTGTGTAAATGCACCGATGGTACAAATAAATGACAACTACTATGTAAGTATTACATTCCCTTTTAAAAGATTAAAGTTTTTTGCTGGGTTACCTGTATTTTCACTCATTTCAGATTCTGAAGTTTTGCTCAGTTACTTCAAATTCCTATAGGCAGGGACAACTTATAATCTAGAGCATCTGGAAGTTTCTTGAAGGAAGAAGCCTCTTCCTAGAACACTTCACCTGTATCACAGTGTATCCATGTATTTTTCCTTTCAGTTAATGTCTTGTTTTATACAAGTGGGGTGATGCATTTTTGTGATAGTGGTCTGCCCATAAATCTGGAATTTTTAAATAAGTATTTGATAAGCTTTTAAAAGCACTTCAAAGCAATCTGTTGGAAAGTTTGGACCGGTTTAACATTATTTTTGAACTTTTAGACTTTAGAATTATGGCTCACTTGGATGCCATCAGACCAAAGGAATGAATGTATTGACTGAATCCAGCTTTTTAGAAAAACTTACTTTTAAAATATTTTATTTTGTTATCACAGTCTGATTAATTTTTTAAGAACTGTACCACAATTTTGTCACAGCTCACAGCATTTTGCAGTAGGTACAATGGCACACAGATCCAGCTCACTAATATACCAAGGAAGCTGAAAACACAAACCCATGTTATACATGACCCGCATCAACATCGTTCGTTTTAACATAATTTCTGCAACTAAATGTAAAATAAAAATTCTAACATTAAAATGACAGTAGGCTTTTTAATTTTCCTAATTCTTTGAACCAGTATGTGTGTTAACGGACAGGATCAAAATTACCAATGCTAGGATCACACCAAAGAGCCACTATCTGATGAATTTTGAATGCTGCAATTAGCATAATTGCTGACTTTTTTTGGTTTTGTCAATGATCTGGTCTTTTTTTTTTTTAACAGGAAGACTTGACACCCAAAGATATTGAAGACATAATTGATGAGTTAAAGGCTGGCAAAGTTCCCAAGCCTGGCCCAAGGTATGATATACTTGCATAATAATGGCCAACTACTTGAAGGCTGATCTTTAGAGAAACTAAATTCCTGTTCCAGTGATCTGAGTTCACAACCTACAGCTAAAAAGCATTAATTAATTTACTGAACAGAATGGCATGCATTCAGTGCCTTTCTATATATGCAAAGCTAAAAAGAACTGGAAAGAACTAAGAAGAGAACTTTTCATGTTCTTAATGACTGACTAGAGGAGTGTAAAATGTGAAAATGTCAATTCCGATTTGGCTTAGTGCCTAATAGGGGAATGATATCACCTGTTGGATTTTTTTGGCTAGATCATGTAAATCAACAAATGCCTGTTGGTTGTTTGACCCAGAAAGATCACAAGTTTGTGAAAGGGTTATTATTTTTGAACTTATCTATTATTTCCCATTTTTCTTCGTTAGCCCAACTACACAAACGTTTGTGAACGGAGGAATTAATTTGACTTGGGTGTGTTACCTATTCTTACTGTTTCTATAGTGATTTTTTTGAATGCAAGAACAATAAAACAGTTAGTTTCCAAACACGGGGAAGCATCTTTAAGAAAAATGACTGATACAATTGGATACTGCCTTTGGTATTACTGGGATCAACATCATTTTTGTCTGGCCAACCTTTAAACAAGTGAAAAAGAAAACTAGTGGTCCTATCTTGCATTTCAGTTATGAAACTATTTGTCACTACTTGAGTTTGGAATCCTTTTGATTTAAGAAGGGCATCACACATTTCTGAAGGATGAATAGGAAGAACGAAAGAAAAAGAATGGCTTCAGCCTTAAGTCAGATTTGTAACTGTCTTCTATCCAGTGATTAAACAGGATCTGAGCTTATAACAATACCAGCAATGAATAAAACTGCTTTCGTTTTTCAGGAGTGGACGTTTTTCTTGTGAGCCAGCTGGTGGCCTTACTTCTCTGACTGAACCACCCAAAGGACCAGGTTTTGGAGTTCGAGCTGACCTCTAAAGATTTTTGTAATATAAGATGAACTGTCTGAAAATAATAAAGTAATATCAGTAAAATTATGTATGTTCTAGAACTTTTTTAAAAAATGAAGTTAACAGCAATTAGAGTATCTAACTTACCATGGTTTTAACTACTGCACAGCATAATCATAATTCTAGATTGTAAGAAAAGTGGTTCTGTAGACTGTAAAGTGACTCACTGAAAGAGTCCACTTATGATCACTGAGAGATGAAAGTTGCATCTTTTGATCTGTCACTGAAAATTCTTTGAACTTTTTCTAAGGTTCTTTGAAGAAGCAACAAAACTGACTAAATTACTAATCTGGCAAATGCTCAAGGAAACAAACTGAAAGGAGATTATCTGACAACTTCATTGCATGTTACTTTTAACTGCAATTTAAAAACAAAAAAACCACAAACAGGAAAGGTGATCCAAGCTGTGTTGTGTAAAAAATCTGGTAGGTTCAGTAAGAAGTGGTTCTTCTTGAGTCCAATTCTTTTTACTACCATTGTGTGACCAGGAAAAATGTGAAAACTATCTTTTTATCACGTTACCAAAAAAAACCCCCAAATACCAGTATAACTCTACTAAAAGAATGAACAGCAACAAGAAACCACTTCCTGTAGAAATTTATTCAATACAGCCAAGGTATGCAGTTGGGGGAAGACAGAATATACCGGAACAGTTTAATACATGGCTAAGTGTAGTATATGAAACTAGTTATTTGATTCACAGATCCTTCTTTGACCTTACTGCTGTGTATCAGATACTTTTAAGAACTCATCTGTGTGAAATGGAGGTATTTCTCCAAACATAAAGTTGAAGGTAGTCTTTTAAAAAATTGACTGCATATTGACACATTTGATACATTGACACATATTGATACATATGCTTTTAAAATCTGGCAAATACTTTATATGTATACACATATATACATTTCAATGTAAATTAGGAAATATGAACATGTCAGTCACCTGAGACCATATTGTGTCTGCCTCTTCTAAAATCTGCTGTGGAACTTACGTTCTTACTACAATTGACGTGATAGATGGAGCTTAATTGCATTATTTATGTTTTATATTATATTTAGTTTGTTCTGATATTCTGATTAACAGTACTTCCGGAAACTATTATCCCTCTTCTGAGGCAATTTTTGTATCTACAATTTCCCTGCATCACGATTATCTCACATAGTCTGTTCATGCTCCCCCACCTTTATTTCAGTAGGCTCTGAAGTGCCTTGTATTGTTAAACAACTAGTGTACTGTTGGTAGTTCTGAGAGCAAAATAGGTATGTATATCATTTGTATGTAAAACTTGCTATCCCTTCTACATTACTAAGTTTATAAGATGATGTAATTGAATTGCATACAAATGGAAAAGTAAATTTGATAAATAAATACAAGTCATGAGTGAGGCAGCCACCCAATAAGCATGAAAAAAAATCTTGTGCATATGAGAAATGGATTGAAGTATTATCTGTACTCTGAAGTTGCTGAATGGTCTTCTGAAAGGTCACTCCACTGTTCGTAATAGCCACACGCCTTGTAGCAGGCCAGGCATCTGGCAGAGACATGAAGTGAGACAGATAGCATATTACATTTTGATGCACAGACAGACTCCTTTTTATATACCAGTCTGTAACTAAGCTGTTTGCTCGACTATAACAACAAAGCTATATTCCAGTTCATGTAAGATTACTTTATTCTAACCTAGTATGAAAGCAGGCAACTATTTTTAAAGTATACATTGAATATAAATAAGGATTTTGCATGCGTTATGGAACTATCGTGCTACAATTATTCATGTTTTTGTATGTAACTGTGAAGCTGGTGGGATTGTGTTGAAGGGAAACACAGTTTTAGACCTGCCAAGTTTGAAATGTTCAAGTGTACAAAAACAAAGCTCCAGGATGCCAGACTCCTCCCATTGGTAAAGCTGGACAGGATAATTTGTTGCCTTGTCCCACTTTTCTCCCCTATTCATTCCATCTGTACATGAAAATCTTGATGTCTGTCTCATGAATAGAAAGTGGACCTCAACAGTTCCCCATTTGTTAGAGATCGTGTTAGTAATCTGTGTTAGTTCCACAGACAAGTATGTCAGTCATTTTGATGCAACATGTAACAGTCTGCCAATCACTTGACTAGAAAAGGATAATTTACATTATCCTTATCGCGTGGTACCAATCTGATACACCACTGTTTAAAATTAAATTGAATATTGTCAGGCAGCTATAGTACTGTGAAATATTTGATGAGAAATAAGCAAATAACCATTACTCTCCTCTCTCATCCACTTCATTCATCAATTATATGAGGCTTTATGGTCCTAGTTTCTATATCAGAAAAGTTTGGCAATCATTGTATTAAGATAAGTGGTTAAAGAAAAAAATTCACACCTTGCATTATTTCAGGTTTTGTTCCAATTTGAACATTTCGAAGATCTCAACTAAAGATACAGATTCTGCAATATTTGTAACATACAGTTGTTTACTATATACAAAATTATTTTCACAATGATAACTAATGCAGGACTGTGATGAGGATTAACAAGGTGATCATTACAGAAGAGTTCTAGAATAGTGTAAGAATTAATGTATCCAAGTTCTCTTTTCTGTTCTTGAATAGCTGCAGATAATTCCTTGTGCTTGCTTTTACTAGTAGTATTGAATATTTTAGGTAATAAATATTAACAGGATATAATTTCTGTTACTCTCAATCCTCAATAGCAGAGGGTTACTAATAGTAGTTCTGGGCAGCTGACACTGACTTGTCAAATAATTAAACACTTCTAATTCTGCAGTTTCAGTCTACCAGTTAGTATCTTGGACTGTGCGAATACTGGGCGGTGAGTTAAATGAAAAGTGAGTTAACTACAGCAACAGCCAATACATTTCCTTAAACTGGTAATGCAGCAGTAACAGAACCAATTCTGTGTTTTCGGTGGTCGTTTGCCCCTCTCCTTGAATGAGCAGAAAAATGAAAGAATTCACATGCAATACGAATTCTTCAAATGTAACAGTGAAAGGAAAAAAAGAAAGCCCTTTAACTGGGGAGGGGGAAAAAAGACTACCTAGAGAAGATTTTAAGAAAAATAGGTAGAATCTTGAGAAAGAAAATGAGATTTAGAATGTGGAAGCAGAAGACAAGCAAAGAATCCACTGGACTGAGAGAGTGGGTGGTGGTTGTTCTTTCCTTTGGTAAAGATGGAATAAAGTTTGGAGAAATAGGAAACTCCATGGATACCCAATGACGCATTCCAAGTTGGGTAATGGAAGGGATTTCCATGACTTCTGCATGCCGCTAGAAAAATGTTACCCGGAACTGTGTTCTGTCATGAAATAAGAAGCAGTAATGAAATTCAGTTCCATCTGTGCAGTATGTTAGCCGAGCTTACTGGCTGACCTGCCAGTTACCTACCCAAGGCTAGTGCATGTGCTTCCACCAGTGTGATGTTTTGCAAGTTCTTAATCCTAAGTTCTTATTTTTAGATTTTTGTACTGCAGTCTGAGATTTTTCAGTCATTCAATTACTAGACTGAATTCAGCAATAACACAGTTCAACCAGATGCCACGCACATTTGCCTTGATTAAGACCAGTAGTTCTCACAGCTGGTAACACAAGAAGTTTCACTAGGGCGGGCAGATCAAGGGAACTACCACAGCTACAAGGCATTTTGCAGCTGTGCTTTGTAAAAGGGAGGGGCTTCTGGAGACAAGGCGAAGAAACTCATGTAGGGATAGCAATTAACTGACTGATGCTTTTTGTTAGTCCAAACAGTAGTTCTCATAAAAGGCTTAAAGGAACACTATTTTTTAGTTACTGATAGGTATTATTATTAAATCTTAACATCTGCTGTAGAAGGGGTTGCTCATGAGCATCTTTCCCTGTTACCTCAGCTGCTGTTGTGAACACCTACCAACACATGCTGACACCCTGGAACTGCACGCTACTGGTGCTGATGCACAAGGATGAGAATGCTGTATTACACCGCTGCACTACACCTGTAGCCTGTAATTTTTTAGAAGGTGAATCATCAGTATTGTCCCAATATAGTGCTGTGAGAAGAAAAAATAATTCTGCCTTGGGAAATAGTTCTTACTCCACTTACACTGGCAGTCTATAGCCTGTCTACTCTTCAATCTGCGTGCCACCTCAAGTGATGGCATCTGTAATCAACCTGACATGAAAGAATATGAAGTGAACACAACTGCATTTGTTACATGGTCACGGGTGCTGCCATACCTGCTCCTGGTCAGCTGACGGTACTCAAGGTATGCCAACAGCATCAAATGAAATTAAAGGCAGTTGCTTTACAACACAAACGATCTGTACCAGCATTTGTACAGTAAGATTTTGAAAGCAGATGAGAGAAGTTTCCCTCAACAATAAGATGTGCACGGTGGGAGTATTTGAGATTTGTGACGCCACTCCCTACTCATGCTGTAACATGATGGAGATGAGAATACAGGGTAAGCCCACACAATTAGATGGCCTTAATCAAAGCAATCCTTTAATTCTCAAAAATTCACATTTCTGACTTGCAAGGTAAATATTAAGGATTCTTGCTTTCTACACAGTAACGGATGAAAGTAATCCAGTAGCAGGCTGAGCATGGCAATTAGGACTACATCAAATGGAAGAGCTTTGTTTAGCTGCCTTCTCAAAATACGACACCTGACAGCCCACCTATCTTTAGTATGTTCCAGAAGCAATCTGGAGAGTATTATTTGAGAACCCACGAGTACAGAACCACAGAGATTCTTTAAGTCTTACCACATAATACTATTTTAATAATGCACAAATGCAGATGAATAACCCGGTTTTAAAGTTGCAACCAGGACTAACGTCAGTCTACTTCTGTAACCCCTTTTGATTGATTTATATGACGCCTAGCTTATTGGCACAAGCGAGACTCCCTGAAAAAAATGGGGTTTTTGTTTCGAAAACTGGAAGCGGGCCCCAGCGTCAAACGGCAGGCTGTGCCCGCCTGCGGGCCGAGGGGCCGCACACCCCCCACAGGTCCTGCAGCTCTTTGCCTACACC